CTTTTCATGGCCAACATTTCTTCAAAATGATAGATTACATCATTCCAAAGAAAAATTACGCATTCGGGAGAATTTTTTACTCATTCGGAAAATTTTCGACCTTAAAGTAAGGAAAGTTTTTCTTTGATCCAGAGATGGATTTTTGGTTCAGTGAATGAAGGATGTGTTTAAGTAACTTAACAACTTATTCAGAATTATAGTTATAATAATTTGAATTGCAAACTCAATTTTGGGCTTTCCTTTTGCGAATCTTTCCATTATCCTTTCAGTGTCAATTTCAATATCTAAGTGTACGTGCAAACGTGCTAGTTCAGTCTTTCTTCATTCTTGGTACTACGCAACCATGTTTTTAACTGGCGAAGGGTTTAAAAACTTCTTTCTGAAGTAGCGTTGCTAGCTAGAAGTGTAGCCAGAATACGGAGAAGTTTGTTATTCAATGGAGAAGCATATTCGTCGCATTTACCAAGAATGTTTGTGTTTTCAGTGTTGGTCAAAAAGCAGTGAATTATTTCTTTATAAAAATTAAGTGAAAGGCGTTATTTTATATACATATATATTTATGAATTGATCTTGGGAAATCGATTTATTTTTTAACGATTTCTTCATGCATCGATTATTTTTATTTCGATTCGAATCGATTAAAAAATCGATTTTTTTTATTTCGATCTGGTGCATACATACTTCAAGGTTGCCTGTGTGCATAACATAAATATATCTTTATATACATGCAAAATAGGGTTTATTAACCGAGATAACGCTTTGAGTGATGCATTTTTCCGGTTTATATATATACATATCAAGAATGATAGAAAGCAATATGTAGATATTTCGCCAATCGAGCTGAGAGCAACCGTCGTCACAAAAGTGAGAGAATGAGAGAGTAAAAAATTAGTTTGATGAAGAAGAGGAAGAAACAAACATGTGCAGCGAAAAAGCGATGTGAAATTAAATAGAACTGTTCCTATTCTTCCGCCTTTTAAATTTGTGCATGCATATGTTCCGTGCAAGCACATTATTTTAAGTACATATGGTACGTATGTAGCTAAATAACTTATCGGAAGATTTGCTCTTATTTTCAATGGCATTTAAATGCGTTTACAAGAATTCCAATAGCCTCCCTCCTTTGTAAAAGGGCATACAAATTTGTTAAAATATAGCCTTGGTTTGAACCGCTGGGAGAATTTTTTTTAGGACCGTTCTTAATAGGGGAGTGTTTGGTGTAAGTCCAAAAGAAGATATCGTACCAAACGACTACCTCTACCAACAATTTACATGGATTAAACAACGAGTAACTAGCCAATGCCCGCTTGCTTCGCAGCGCCTAATAAGATCTTTTGCGTCGGCCAATACAAAAATAGCGTTTAAAAGCAAAAGCGGTCTGTACAGTAAACATTTATTAACATTTATTTCTACCTGTGAGATTTCTGCCAAGCGTGCGTAATAATCTTCTATGATCTTGCAACATCAACATTGGTCCGCAAACCAGTTTTCAGTTATAGGAGGGCAAAGAAAATTCTAATGAGGGCGTCAGGCAAAGGTGCGCTTACACAATGTTGCGGTCTTTACATGCACACTTAAACGAATCCTCCATTTAGCGATATGAAAAGTAAATTCATCTAAGATGAATATAGGGCCAAAGCGGACCAAGCCCCGTGTGGATTTCTGTATATTTCGGCTGCAGTGCAATCCATTAGGTCCCTTTTCTGCAAAACCACTGCTTGTCACGAAATGAATACGCATTATGAATTTCAATCAGATTTTATAAAACATTCATTCATTTTTAGGAAACGAATTTTTTATAAAAATCACCAATATTTTTGTCAGTTTCGTAGCGATCCGGCAGCGCATTTAAAGGTCGTTGAGCACTGTGTATTAGTTGCAGTAGAAAACTGAAAGTTGGTATAGATTTTACAAATATTAAGAGCGTGTGTGAATCGGTAACAAAATTCGCGGCGAGTAAATTTTTGACAACTATGAGGTGAATAAAATTTCAGTAGCTCATGAGGCTAGTGAAATTTTTGACAAATGCATAGAAAATTTCGACAATAGCAAAGATTGTTGATGTGTGTAATTTTTCGTTAAATAAAAGCTTAAATTGATGAATTACAATCAACGATGATATATGTTTTCTTAAAATATTAATTTCACTTCAATTTGTAATATTTTATTCCGCATAAATCTGCGGTTATCAAAAATTTACTGCTCTCAAAAAATATTTCATTTCACACAGAAGATTGGCAAAACTGTCTCACCAAAGTAAAAGTATTATTCAACAGCTTTCCCCATAGAACTTTGTTACCGATTCACATACGCCCTAAAAGGAAAAAACTAACGAGGTGCCCCGTTTTCTAGAATGAAAAATTTTCCCCATAGAAAAATTGGACCACTTTAATGTATATATATGTTTTGAATGACAAAAAATATTATCATGAAAGTAATAAACGTTTTGAATTTGCATTAACAAAATCGGTTCATAAATGAGGCTTTTATCGCGTCCGTTTTTCGCAAATGCTGTTTTCATCATGAATTTGAATGAAATCGGTTCATAAAGCCACCTAGCAGGTCTATTTTTGGTAAACGTATTTTCTATCATGCTGATAGCTTACATTTTGAATTTAAAAGAAATCGGTTCATAAATACGATTTTCATAAATAACTCGACTCCAGCGCCACCTAGCGGGTCTATTTTTCGCATACGTATTTCTCATCATAACTCATCATAACTCGACCCCAGCGCCACCTAGCGAGTTTTCTGGTAGCCTATAATAGGACCATATATGCAAGGTATAACCTCAGAAAATTTTACTGAAATCTATGCAGTAGTTTTTTAGTTAACTCCGAACAACGAAAACTATTATTTTATATATATACATAGATTACATACATATGTAGATTTATAAAGTGGCGGGAGACACATTACTTTCCTAGGACATGTCTTTACAGAAATTCATGTACATACATATTTATGTACAAGTATATCGGCTTTATGTGCGAAACACAATTTTTTTCACTAGGACGTTTACTTCGCATGCGTGTGACTGAATGACAACTTCGCACTATGGTGAATTTTTGGAAAAAATGTAATTTTGGAAGTACATTTTTTTAAATAAAATTATACATTTTTATATCCACTCATTGATCAAAGAGTGAATTCTTCTTTAAGTTACATATTTTTGATTAGGTGTAGACCAAAATAGGGTATCAGGTATGTTCGAAGTAAATACTTTTAAATGACAGCATAAAAAAGTTTCATATTTCAAGGATACATATATTTTTCTGTTGGTGTAAGCGTGGGATCAAAGAACTTTGATCATTAGAAAGGAGCAGTAGTGCCAGCAGTAGAGTCACATGTGAGCATCATGTGAGACTCAGATGCTGACGATAGCGATTATTGAGTTACTAAACCATCACTGAACCGAATCCGAACCCGCACCATCACCTTCGAAAAAGACTAGAGTGACATTTATGAACAAAATATAAAAGCATAAATAATACAGCTGTTGTAGGGGACATATTTGTGTTTTTTTTTCCTTGTGGACTTAACGTTCTTTGTATAAGGATTTTTCCTGAGAATACCCCCAGAAAATTTTCCAGCGAATAATTTTCTATAACATTTAAACTCTCTAGCGAACTCCCAAACGCCATTTCATTCGCTCCGATATAATGGGTCGATTATTATTATCGATAGCAATCGCACTTCAGTTGCGTTGCTAGTTGCCAAAACGATATTACAGATGGCAACTGGAACTTTCAACTGACAACTGCAGTTGCTACAAAGTGTGTATACGCGCGAGAACATTTTTGTGGTTGCTGGGAATGTTTTTGAAGCGTATTTAGGAGCGAAAATTGAAAAGTGTGTGACATATTTTACTTTTTAATAATTTGAACGATATTAACATTTTCCAATGCAGTTTGCTTTTACAGAATATGGTGAAAATAACAAAACAAAAACTTGAAATTTTAGTTCCCACCGAGTACGCCCTTTTAGCGAAACAAAAGCAAGCACTGATTGCAAATTTTTTCCTTTATCAACTGAAGCACGTCTTTTAAAATTACCGACATACCAAGTTTTCCAAATTAGAGTCATTGCTGTCTCACTTCCTTCTGCGAAAACTCGAAGAGGTGCACAAGCTTTTATGAGCGGAGGTATTGAAGTTGAACGAAGTGGTTCATCTGTTTATTAACCAATTATACTACAGCTTTTTTTGGAAGTCCTCAATATGCTTTAAAAATGAACACAAAACGATAATAAAAGAAATACCTTGAAAACATTAACTTTTGCTTATAGTGTACGCGGTAGCTCTAGAGGATGGGAATTATCCTTTAAATGTCGCCTGATTGAGACCGCATTCATGCATTTCTCTTCCTCTTAAGCAAATAATTGTGATGAATTTAGTTTCATTGCTGTCTTTTCTATAAAACTCTTCATTTTAATAATTTACTTTTACTCGCACAGCTTGTTTACAGCCGCTTGCCGGTTGTCGAACTCTACAGCAACTCACTATAGTTGCCATTCGTAATACAAATTTTCTTTCCAGTTGCGTTGTCAGCTGGCAAGTGAACCGTGGTTGTGTTGCTATCCGTAATCGACCCATAAATTTTAACTCTTTTCTTCACCATTCTAAAATCAATCAGGCAAAAAAGTGAAAACTGAGCGTGTCCATTAAAATTTGTTTACCTCAGAATGCAACGACCAACGCCAACGCCTTGTACTTTTTCCCAAAAAATGTATGGGGCTGTACCACTGTGCGTCGGCGAAGGATAAGTCATTAACGCGACAGCATGGCGCCACCGACAACATTTTAAGGGCAGAAACGACGGGGAAGCCGCATCATACACAGAGAAAGGTGAATAATAAGAAATGAAAAGACCACGACCGGCCACTCATTCGCGCTGGAGTTCAATAAACTTACTCATGAAATGTCGTTGCAGTAATTATAGGCATTTGATAGACTCGATTTGTTAGGGGCATTTGATGCCAAACCAGTAATTTGTACTTACCACAGTATCCTCGGAAACAGCTGATTTGTCATTACTGCTATGATGATGACGTCGTGATACACCATCCACCGACGCGAAAAGCTCAGCAATGATTAATGACAATGCGATTATGGAAGGCATGGTACTGAGCATATTTTGAAACATTGTTTTTGTTAACGCCTTGACAGAATTTACCGACATTCGCACCGATAAGAGAGCTTGCATCGAATTTAATAACACACTGATTTTTGGCTTCGGTGTCCTCTTGACTTTGGAATTCTTGAGACATATGTATGTATATAATGTATATTTGTGTATAATTGTGTTAAATCTTACAATCGCACATCTAGTTGAAAGAATCGGTGGCGGTTTTTAAAATAAACGTCGAACTGTAGCCTTTCCGCGCGAACCAAATGCATTTACTTGTCGTTTATAACTGAAGCTATTCAAACAAAGGAAACAATAATTTCCCGTCGCATTAAGACACTTCTCATTCACTCAAGAACTTATTTTAAATATGCTACTGACTATTTCTTGCCACAGTGGACGCAATTAAAATTTTATTCCGCGTATTTTGAACTATCCCAAACTTTGGGTCGATTCTAAGACTATGCACACTGTGTAAGACTAATTAAATGAAATATATACATACATACACAGTTTGTATGTAAACACTTTCCACTTTTTAGCTTCCTACGCAAAAACTTGTTATTTTCGACATTTGGCTTTTATTATGAACTGCAAATTTTAGCCGGTTGCCACTGTGACACCAAAGAGTTAAGACATGCGCACTGTTGTACACCGGAAACCAGAGAAATGAAGGGGCCCAAACGTAAGGATTAACCACAAACGCGTTGCTTTTATATGTATTGTATTTCTTTTATTTCGATTTATATTCGTATTCTTTGTTTATATTTTCGCTTAGCGTGCCTCCAACACACTAAAGAGCTTGCTTTATAAACATTCTTCCAATTCAGTTCACATTCACATTCTAATGCACTCGAGCAAATAGCTGATATTTAGGTCGTCATTGTGAGCTGATAACGCACAAAAATTAACATACAATTTTTAGGTATAGGCATATACACATATGTATATGTACACTCTCCCATTCATATGAACATATGTGTGTGCATATGCACCCGTGTGTTGCACCCCACGATTAGTTGCAAATTTAGCATAAGAACTACTCACGCACATTTACATATGTACCTACATATGTACATAAGTGTGTGTGACACTTTTGAAATACAACTTTATTGTAGTAAATACACTTGGGGGATTATATTTTTTTATGTGTCAGCAAAGGCTGAAAACTTTCGATTTTGATAGAATTTTCGTTGACTTAATAACTTTGATTTTAACTATTGTCGATAAACATTTAATTTGGCACAGCACGAAAAATGCGACGACCACAATGTACAATACAACACGACTTGGGTATAAATCGAAACTGAAAACTGTCCTCACTGCACCTTCAATTGAACCCGATGACTGTTGCTCTCAGACACCCAATCAGACGCCCGCACTCAGAGACTCCGCTCGCGTGCTGCATAAAAAAATGTGTCTACATGCCAACAATAAGATCCATGATAGGACAAAACCAACCAAACAAATGAAATGAGTAACTCGCGCACGCAGCTGGACTCAGCTGACATCGCGTCCGATCAAAAGAAACTCTTCTCAGATACTTTTTCTTTTGTTAACGCGGGAATGCGTAATCCACTCCACGACGCTGCGGGCTGGTGACGATACGATCGTACTTAATTTCGCGATCAGCCCGGCTGATCGTACATATGTTTGTATGTACATACATAGATACACAAATAAAGGCCGTTGGCGCTATTTTGTAACACCAGGGCGAAGCATTACAAGTTCAGAGA